AAATTTATGATATCGGTATCGGACATAAAAAAGTGGTATCGTGCCATCTCTAATATAAATATAAATATAAATATAAATATAAATATAAATATAAATATAAATATAAATATAAATATAAATATAAATATAAATATAAATATAAATCTTGCCTTGTCCAAACTGCTCTCCTCCTCAGACTGCCCTCCCAAGGAAGAAACTATCTTGTCTACATCATGCGTAATTGGTTTGTCAACCTGGGAAATAGATTCCTTGGTTCAAAACGCCCAAAGAAGAGAGTAGAACCCAGGTAACACACCTCAACTCCTCGTCCCTGTGAAAGTCCAGTCAAAAGTAACCTAGTGGGCACATACTGCCAAATGTATGTGTCATCCTGGTATCAATCACACAATATACTTCCTGGCTCTGTTATGGTGGCCATCTTTTGTGAAAGACTCGAAGTCAACTTGAACTGCACTCCTGAGAATGTAAGAATGTGGCTGATCAGTACCAGATACTTGCACCTTCTTATCAATCAGGTCAGAAAGTTTGGTTATCTGCAAAAAATATCCCTCTGCAAATGAAACCTAAGAAATTTGCAACCAAATACACTGGACCGTTTGAAAATGATACAGTGATTAATCCTCTCTGTCTCCCCATTTAAAGTTGCTCAATTATGGGCACCAGATGTCGTGGAAGGGGCTTTCAGTACCTGGTTGATTGTGAGGGATATGGCCCAGAGGAATGATCCTAGGTCGTGCATCCCGCCATCCCGGACAAGAAGATGGTGAGAGAATTCCTCCTCAGACTCCCTTTATAGGTTGGGGAAAGGAACTGTCATGGTCCATCTGTCATCTCCGGTCATCTTGCTTCTTTCTAGCTCAGTCATGTCCAGTCATTCAGTTTAGTGCAACCTTTCGTGTTGTGTTCATTTTGTCTTCATAATAAACAGTGTCCTCATTCAGCCTGCGAGTCCTGCATTTGGGTCCTCTCTGACCTCTCTCCACACACCTACGTGACACTTACCTGCCTTTCCTTGTTTTCAGCTCTACCTGGAAAGACCTGTGATGCAGAGTGGTGAGATGTCTTTGCAAAGAGGGAGTCTGGGAAATGGTTTGGAAACTTTGGAAAGCATCAGAGGAGTTTGGGATTGTCACTACTGTCTGATTTTTTGACTATTCATATTCACTGTAAATAATTGACTTATAGTTATAATCTGTATTTTTTATTTGTTATACTTAATTATAATTAATTATAATTATAAATAATTGACTAAGCAGTCCTGCCAGAGTCTAGATCTTGACAGTTTCTTCCTGTTAAAAGGGAATTTTTCCACTTTTACCAAGTACTCTCTCATAGTAA